ATGTTGCGAGTGCTGCCTCCAGTAGGGAGTTTGTTGGCATCACAAGCAGGGCCATATTGAAACTGACAGTCGGGTGCTTCACAGTAGTCACCTATGAAGATTAGCATTGGTCTCTCAAGTTGTACCCGAATACCTTACCTCCTTGACCACAGTAGCCCTCCACAGAGCAGCAGTAGCCCTCAGCGCAGCTTGCACCGCCGTTGTTCGGTCCGCACCGACCATCAATACCACCTTGACGTGCCGTCAAACGTAAATTGGGCCCTGCAACATGCGCCGCATGTCCACCAAGAATGTTCCTGCTCCTGAGTTGACCAATCTCTCGGGGTCCAAGGCCAACAATCTTCGGTACAGGGAAGTCGCTGTGGGCAGCCACGAGGGGTGCGACCAGAGCCGCAGCGTATAGTCCAGTGTAGCGCATTATGATAACGTGACTTTGAGTCCAACAAAAATGTAATCGAAGAATAAACGAGCGTAAGATCAAAAAGATCGACCGATATTAAGTCCGAAGAAAAAGGTAAAGACGACACTGTAAAGAGTGAACAGACGCCTTTTGACCTTTTCACAAAGTGAGCAAGGAAAAAAAGATAGACCAAGAGAAGCAACAAAGGGATGTGGGTGCGAATTCCATATAAGAGGCGAACTAACTACCGCATGCCCAGACATTAGAAAAAGATGCCCACGACGCCCGTGGAGCGTGTAGTGTGCTTGGCTATGGGACGGGTCAGCCGCCGCGCGTGTCAGATTTGGTCGAGGCTGACACTGAGACTGCGATACAGGAGGTAGCCCGCTAGCGGAGAGTTAATAATGTAAGTCTTGACAGGGAGTGTGCTGTGGAGGAAGATGAGTGAGATGAGGCCTTTGATCGAGTCTACGACAGACACTCAAGCGCATGCGGGCTTCCACGGTTTCTGCCTTTCTCGGAATCCGGACATGATTCCAGCTCGCAACGCGCGTATGGCACAGTGTCGCGAGGGAGCATGCAGGTGCTGTCTTCGCTCCGGAGGCTTTGTGGCGGTCATAAGCCAAGACATACCCCTGGGTCGTTGCCAAATCGGGCGTGTAGATCACGTTAGCGCCCGAGATTTCGCGTAGATAGATCCGTGGTCCTGGCCTTTGGGGACGGCCCAGATTCCGTCGCTCTACTCCAGACTCTTTAAATAACCCGGCGGGTTGCCTGACAAGAAGACAGCTGGTACGTGGATGGCCTTGATCTCACGTGTAGCTCATTCTGAAGTCTCTGGATGCAACGTGGTTCTCCACCGAATTTCCTGAGCGAATTCAGATCGACGCCGTGATGCTGACATGTGCGGCCTCGGTGCGATAATTTTCTCTGGGCACATCTGCAGCGGTCAATACTTCGGCGCCGTTGTCTCGAAACACGGTGTTGGGTTCGGATGAACTGATGCAGAGTTCCCGCGGTTTACCCAGCACTACTGATCAGTAACTGAGTTGCCACAGCTCTCCAAGGCGTCTGGCGGAAAGGCAAAAGCTAAAAGAATAGGCCTGCAGCTTCAGGCGGGGAGCCAACGGTTCGTTTCCTGAAGTTTGTCGCGGAATGAACTCTGTCGTATTTACCGTATTGCGCGGCGATAAAGGTGATTACCTAGCGATGTTGCGCAAGGTATCCACGGATAGCTCTGATGTCATTACGCGATAACGAGATGATAGCCGAGAAGGTCAGGTGCAGCTGAACCACACTCGCACTCTCATCTTGTGGAGATGATGTGACTTTCTTCCTTCGCTTCCGGACTATCGACAAAAGCCATTGTTCTCGTTAAGCTTCGGGGCTGCCGTGACACTGTCACTGTGCTCGACAGCACGGACGTTGACACAAACAGCCCCGCGTGTTCATGTTACCTACGACTTCCTCCACGTTTCGGACCCGCCAATATCGCGCGGAGAGCGCGTTTTTCTACGTCTTCAGCGATTGGCTGCTACAGCACGTCGTCTGATGGTTTTATCGGAGCTTGGTTCAGTACAGACGCGCTCCAGAACAATTCTCCAAAGACTACGTAATCTCACTTACTCTGGGCCTTGGACAGCTTATCGACAGACACGCAACACCATCTCGAAAACGAAACCCAGTCCGATACCCAAGTTCGATATCAAAATACACCATGAACGTAAATCGGACGATACCCCGCGACAGACTACCCCGCGAAGACTCACTTTCCCCGGATCCGCAGCAGTCTCGTCATGGCGTTCGAGCGGCTCGTTCGGTATCGATGAACAATAGTGATCAGGACGCGCCAACATGCCAACGCACCAAGACCACGGCGCAGTCTTACATTCTCAACAACACATGATTTGAAAAATCGACGCCTGGAAGGAATACTTGGCAAGCCCATTGACATCGGCCCAATGCGATCACTTCTACGACGGAGCAATCTCGACTCTCAACGCTCCGCCAGCTGAGATCAGGGGTGACTGCAATTCATATCGCATTCCGCCAAAACTTCATCAATACTGAGGTATACATTGTCCTTAGAAGAACTCCTTTGCTCACGTTTAATAGTGCGTATGCAGCAAGATAAAATGTGACACGATATTCAGCCACTCCTGTTGCCACTTTGCTCGCATTTTGCACCTCTGATCGAGCAATCCACAGGTAATTTTCGAACTCGTCGTCTGATGGTGTCTCCGATGAAACATAATGGCATAATGCTGTGCTCGCATTACGAGCAATAGTATTCACGGATTCCACAAGTAAAACACTCCATTCTCGACCACCTCCACTATGGCACGAGCAGTATGGCCTCTCTGCATCGCTGTTCGTCGTTTCTGGTCGATTACATTGATGCGGTCATCGACCGCGCTTGGCATCCACTCGTTCGGAGCCGACTTCGTTCAGGTGCTGCAAGATCTCGTGCTTATATCTGAAATGGTTACAAACTAGGAATCCGATCTTTTCATCAAGACATGGACAGGGAATAGATACTGCCGACTCGCTGAATCCGAAAGCTTCAGTCGTCTACCGAGTGGATCTACCACCAACAATAGCAAGGTCACGATGGCGTTACAGTGATGATTGCAAACGCTATTCGAGTTACAGAAGTTTTGATGATCACGACTAATTCATCACAGGCTCTGTCTACTACTACTATTGCCGCAATCGCCGATAAGGCCAAACTCCTCATTCAATACCTAGGTACCGCCCTGTTACCTGGTTTTGCCACAAGTACAAACCGTCGCAGGATCGTTATCATAATCCCTGGGGCAGCTTACCACCCGGGCGTGGCCAGAGCAGTTGAGTGGACGCGAGTAGCGCCATAGCTGGTAGGTATCGGCGCGGAGACATGATAGGTACCTAGGTACACCTGGGTCAGGCCCTTTGGCGGATCACTTCAGTAAAGCTCACGGAAGCAACCATGCGAGGCATCGCAATCGCACACTACTAAAGAGGAAGCACTGCTGTCATCTAGCATACATCCTCGCCAGGGACAGCCGTGCCGAAACTGGAGAGTCAACCAGAGCCACAGTGCTACCACGTGCTACACCGCTAGTCCAGCTGTCACGCATATACCGCGACGTCCTTCCCCCCTTGCCCCACTTAGCGTCAACTTTTGCCTCCTTTCGCTGTCGTTTTGCTGTCTTTTCGCCACCCTGCCTCATCTACCTTTACCTTTACCTTTACCTAGGTATTCACAGGCAGGCGCTCCGCGATCGGAAGCAGCACGAACTTATGTTGTTACTACACCCTAGGATCAGAACCTGTTACCACAGAATCACGATTAGCACATACGCAGACATTGCCTGCGCAGTCCAGACATTGCCTAGAATCATATACCCAAGATCTTACATTCTGAAATTCACACAACTGAGCTTTACTAGTGCGAAAGCATCATACTGCACTGGCTGTCATCCAAATGCGCCACGTCTGCAGCCAATATCCACGGATACATGATATGATGAGCGACGGTGCGCAGTTTCTTCCGGGCACCATCACCATGATCTGCAGCTACTTGGGTACCACACGATCGTGAAGGGAGCATTAAGACCACATCCAAGATGATTGATATTCGCACATATTACAGCAGGCCCGAGGCCAACCATTAGCATTCGCTCAAACTCATCAACGGCAGCATTGAAGTCATACCCAGCCCTCGGGAACCTGGACCGAACACACAAGACAAGGCTAGAGATATACACTATTGGGGGAACACATGCGGATGTGAAGAAACTTATAAGACTAGCAGACCTCATACAGGGTACCTAGGTACGTGTACGTGGTGGCTATCTTGCAAGTGCCCGCACGTGATAGCCCGCACTTCACCGCCACGTGCCGGGCTGCACCGCGATACCGGAGCTCTCTCACCTGCAACCTGCAACAGCATCAAGCAGCGCATACAGATACAATAACTCTCGCTCATTCCCTCCATCACTCCTTCAACCCACTACTTCCAACTTCTTCTTCTGCACCACCCGGGCATCATCTGCACAAGCTCTGACTGGTATTGCAAGACCGCTGCCCAAGCGAAACCACTTCAGCAACCTACAACACCAGACAGTTCATATTGCAAGCGGTGACGATCTCCCCAGACGCCGCCATGGCCGGAAATGGCGCGCCAGTTCCAGCGCCGACAACAAGCTCACCGCATTCGATTGATAACCACGCGCTCCCCACACCCAAGCATGAATATTGGGAACGACACTATTTGTCGAGAGCTTTAAAGCTGTCTCACACGACATGCAATTCACGACAAAACAGGCGCTCCGCCCACCGCGCTTGCTCCCCTTGGAGTAGCGCAAGCGACAGCCCTTACACCAGCCGCAGCTTACCCCACACCTGAGAGCGCGGACAGAGGAAACAAGCGATATGACGCAGAGGTAAGTTCTGGCGCAATATTCGTAAATATATACTGACTTCGTAGGTTCAACAGGACTTCGCGACAGACGAGGGAGGAACAGTGGCGGCAGAAATCGACATTGATGGGCGCATCAAACAAAATGTTGCAACGCCAGTGCGAAAATCCTCAATCGAATTCAAGTACCCAGTCGCAATGCAGGCATACGACCCCCAGGACATGTTCTTTGCGAAATCTCACGTCAAGTCCTGGACAAAAGAAGAGTCGGCGAAAGAAAATGACAGGCTGGCAGGAGCGTACATGGCACTGAGACATGAACACATCTCCGTCCTTGTCGGTCAAGACAGCAAGGAGAAGAACACGCGCCGCCAAGTAGTCGACTCGCGCCAATCCCTCGCCAATGGAGCGCAGATGCTATTGTGGAATTCTGAAGCGGCGTTCGAAGCTTCGAAGGCGATCGCAGGAAGGATTTGTCAACCATCGATCTGGACTGACCCGCAGACACAGACACAGTACACCGGGAAAGCACCAGGATCATTCACACCACAAGAGGCACAGCATATCCTCAATTTGCACAAGGACGACTGTATCAAAGACTTGAAAGGCGCCACACTGGCGGCTACCGGCGCGAACCTCGAAGAACTCGGCATCGACGAGACCATCGTTACGCAGGCGTACGATCTACCTGGTGATAGATCGTGGTTTGAGAAAATCTGTGACAACTGGAAGGACGCTGCCAGAGATGTACTGGTGGACAGCAGCATGGATCTCAGTATTATCGAGGAAACCCCGCCCCGGCGCCAAATTCGCTTCCTGCCGGCGCGTACGAAAGGCCGTATTACCCTGCCGACATCGCTCTTAGCTTCTCGGTCTGCCGACGTATGAAAGCAACTTGTCTACGGCTCTTTCTTCCTTCTTACACACTCATCTTCTCAAAACGAAGATTTCCAAAAAGAAGAAAAATTGAAAATATGTGGTGCGGTCTCCAGACCTTGGTCTTGTATCGAAAAATCAAGAAACCGAAACCATGTGCGCTCGTCTACCATCACTGTGGGACTTCCCCGTATCATTCTAAAACGACGCATCGAATGTTATGTTCGATCCCCTCTTGGCGCGCGAGGACCCTTTCAATGCGGCGCAATCTGGCTTCCCGTTGACCGATCCGAAGCGCGAGTCTTTGACCGAACCGGCGCACGATCAGGTCATTTCGGCGCCTAAAGATGAGAAGAAAAAGAGAAAATTGGATCCCGAAGTTGCCGAGACAGAGCTGAAGGGAAGGATCGAAAGGGCCGACACATATTGGGTATTGGACGTCACAACTGAGGATATCCAACGCACAGTGAGTAATCCCTAACTGATAAGACGAGCATGTATACTGACCTTGATCTTTTAGCTAAACTTCGCCACCGGCCGCTCCCATTTCCCACAATACAACATCATCTATCCGCCGGATGCGAAACCACTAGATGATGATTCCACCGTCGCCGCCTGGATTTCTACAGCTGACCACACATGCCATTTTCGTCCCCTGCATGGACATGGTTTCGCGACGTGCATTCTTTGCCGGAAAAAGACAAAAAAGCTGGCCACAGATTGCTTTATTCCAAAATCGAGCGTCATCATGAACATGGCCGTGAACAGCACAATCAAAGAGGAGGGCGACGTCTACAAGCAGGACAAGAACGAAGAGGGTGAGTGGACAGATGGCGCCAAAGTTGGGTTGAATGTCGCCAAATATGTCAAGGACTTCATCGGCTTGACCTCAGTATGGATGCCAGGCGAGGTCTACACCGGCGAATACAGGAAGATACCCTTTCTTATCGCCATGGCAGCCATGACCGCAGATCTAGCTTAATGATGATAAAAATACAACCCGCAGGCTGCTACATCGGCGTTATATTGGAAATCCTTGCAATTGTGGAGCCCTCGTGCTGACTACATCAACTCCCATCATCGATAAAGACACTTCAATAGAGCACTATATTGACTACATGTAACTCTGACGTCGATGAGTTCACTATCCCAAGACTAGTGTGCCAACTACATATGTGTGGACAGAAGAGCCGCGTTGCTCCGTCCATGGCTGACGACCTCCTAGCTACTTCAGCAAGAAATCTCTAGCGATTGATAATGTAATGAAGGTAGCAATGCTACCTGGGGACCTCCTGGTATGACTAGCTTATTCTATCCTTCGCACGGACGATGTCTGGCTCGAGATTGAGTTCATCGCTTCGAAACAAGCGGTGTTCCTGGCAGCTAACCGACACTCGACCATCACGCCTGGGGAGCCGATGAAGCATGGTGCGCGGAATCCTCGCCTGCGTGAGGCGTGTATCGACGCCGGCTTTCCACAATACAATACAATGTGTTGCTTTCGTCGAAAACGTATCATCGAAACCAAACATGAATACGGAGAGGGAGCGGCGCAGGCGATTGCAGCACATACTGGCGACTCCAACGCCCACGAATGCTACGACACGGTCGGCGTCGGCGACATTGATATTCAGTCCTACATACTAGGCAGAGAGAGGGCGGGTCAAGGCTTTGCGCTTGAAAAGCATCTAGGTATACTGACTTCAGATTTGCAGATGAGCCGGCGAGAAGCAAGAAAGATGTTTGAGCAGGCAGCTCAGACAGGATACGTACAGTATGAGAACTACGAGATCACGCTTCGTGCTGAGGTCGAAGAGCGGTTGCGCGAACGCGAGCGAGAAGACTCCGAGTCGGTCGAGATAATCTAATCCTTCAAGACAACGATCGACGACATGCGCGAACTACTGATACGGAACCCCGCCGATGATACACCCATACTGCGAGGATATACCGGCAAGACCACTTGCGCTTACAGAGTCATGTTGAGGGATGGAGACTCTGCAGCTGGGGTTGTCCTTAAGGAGCTTGAGGCTGTCTCCTACAAGCGAAAGATGGTACCAAAGAAGATCCGCAAGAGTCTACGAAACCTTGTACTGGAAGAACTTGCTCAAGAGATGCTATCTTCGCTGGAAACTTCCACCAAGTCAACAACTACGGGACTAACCGCCGGTAAAGGTGGTGCATCATCATCGATCCGCAAACGAGCCAGAAATGCCCAAGCCGAGCTTGAGGGTCTCCACAGTGAGCGCATGAGCGCTCTCGAGGCCTTGGAACGGCGCAACAAACAGGATGAGATAACCGAACAGGATGTTGATGAGGAAGAAGGTCCAGACGTGGATTCGCTCAAGGAAAATGGCGACAGGCAACACCTACGGGGTGAGCCGTTGCATTGGTAAAATTTACCGCAGGAGGACGTTCAAGTGAATATTGCTGATGGGGTTGAGGAATGCGATGCGGCTACACAAGAAGAACGCGTAGCCTTCCTTCTGGCCTTCATTACGCATAAAAGTCAGGCCACCTCTGGGTTGAAGTGTTGGCTCTGCCAGTTCGATCAAATGATGTCGCAGGGCGCTAAAGACAAGAAATGGAACCTTGCGAAACTCGAGAAATATGTAAAGGGGAAGGTACACACGCGCCGCGAGCAGGTTTATAAGGTCGTTCAACGAGTTGAAGATTGCCGGATGCACAGGGAGCGCGTCATGTCCCTTGTGCCCAAACTGGTCGTACCAGACCGCAGCCGGGTGGCTGGTTCACCTTGAGCGTCATCACTGAGAGGGGCTGTGATTGAAGGAGGAGGCTGAGGAGAAGGAGGTAGAGAACGATGGCGATGAGGATCCTGATTTTGAGAACTTGTGAGAGTGTTCTAGAAGTCAGTAGTGCGTGGAAGATACATTGTGTTATCTGCGAATGCGACGGCCTTACTGCTCGGTCACATCATCAGAACGAGCGCAGTGCATCTACGATATCGTTTATCATCTTCTCCCACCTGCTGCTGTCTTCTCTCTCTTCATCCACATTGACACAGTTGGTATATTCCCGCGTTGAAGTCACTACACTCGGCGCCTCGATATGTCTGCATAACCAAAACTTCGTGCTGATCTGCGATGTCTTTCCATGCCCTGCCTGGCTGTTGCTAAACTTCGGGCTGGACTCATTCAGCTGGGCGCGTTGGTATACTCGCGCAGTCAGTATATCTCTTAACATACCTATCTTGTCTGTTTGTAGATGTTTTGTGTATATTTTAGGTGTGCAGGTTATAGCGCTGGAAGAAAACAGCGTGCCACAAGTACCTAGACTAACGGTTTGATGTTGCATTACTGACAACCGTTCTACTTGTTCTGGGGGCTGCGAGAAACATAAAATTCTACTTTGAAGCTAGGCCAACTCGTAGTTTGCTTCAGTAGCCTCTCGGGCTTGCTTATGTTCGTTCTTCATATACTCGTGCGCAAGTCTTTTCCACACTGGAATAATTAAGCATAGCGCGCTTTCTATGTCATGAAGATAGAGCGCAGAGACGTGTCTTTTAGTGGGTCTTTTCATCAACGCGTGGTATACATTCTCCGTGCGAAGGCAGAACAATGTGGCGCGTATGCTAATGCAAAGAAAAATCGCATGCTTAAGCATAGTTATACGTTCGGGGACATGTCTGGTAAGACATAGGCAACAGATGCTCTTCGCACTGAAACCTAGCGGTATGGCGCGGTGATTGATATGAGGAAACTTAGCACAGCCTCTTCTTCGCCTGTCTTTATCATGACTAGGCGCCGCGCTGATTTTTTTTAAGTGTCGGCGCTGTTACTATACTACAAAACACTCGCCAGCTTTTTATACACCACCGTACCTCTACCCTTATACTGTTAGACATGTCCTGGTATCAGAACGAGTTGCTACATATGACTTGAACTGCAATCGTTCTGGCGCTAGTTGACGCTATAGTTTGCCCACAGACGTGAGCTCTACTTGCATTGCACGACTGTCTTCTCGTGTCTCTTGAGTGCGGCTTACTTCGATGCTATAACAGACATGCAAGCCTAGCGAAGAGACTACTGCAGTAGACTCTTGCGCTACTTGAGGATGTTCGCGCGCATAGCCCAATACTTCTTAGCAAAGATGTTTAGGTTGGTCTTCTACTTCACATTGTTTTCAACTATCACGCATCTAGCGTCGGTAGTCAAAGTCTTGGGCGCTGCTTACACCCCGCACAAGACATCTTCATACCACTTTTACACTCTCTAGGATTACACTGCCTAGAATTACTTTGCTTTTACCTGGACAGAATACGTATCACCTGCAGCATATGTGTTCGCGGTATCTATTCTCGAGAAACCAGCACGATAGAAGACAATGTATCCTCTAATACTCGTCGTACTATTTAATCCTTAAACGTCTTGCTACTATGAATGCTTCGACTCTGAAGATGCCACTTAGTCTGTACGCTAGGCACTGGTATGTATACGCCTGCCTCCGCAGTCCCATCACAGTCACAAGCTACAAGGGTACTGTAGTCGTCAGATGCGAATTCTCACGATCTTTTTGATACTGGTCGAGGGTTAGATCAGTCTCGGAGGCCTTTTCGATGATACCCACTTGCTCAGATGTTCCATAGTTATCGCGACATCTTATCCGTCCTTCAAGACCTCATCTCGATCTATAAAAGAGCATTGCAAACTTCTGCGTTTTGTAAAGGCGCGAGGTCAAGTTCTTTTATGAAGAAGTCGCAATGTCGACCTCGTTGGAAGTGGATTGAGGGACTGATATGTCCTCTGCGAATAAGAGTTACGGACACTTAGGCTTCTAAATCATGTACAGATACGCAATGAGGCCTTTCTTGAGTCGGAATGGAGGGGCAATTACCTCGAAAGTGGGTCTTGTTCGTGAATACCCCTTATGTCTGACACTATCCCCAAATCTTACTAGACCTCCTTACTTACCAGAACGAGCCTGAGAACCTGCTCTACACGTCGATTGCCTCGGATTATCTACGAACGATTTTGTCTTCGATCCATCAAGGAGCTTGTGGTTTCTCTCGCTCAATCGCCAAAACCGGGCTTGTGGTTTAGTGGTATAATACTCCCTTAGCAGCAGGACTTCAAGGAAGTCCAACTGTGGGAGTGGTCCAGGGTTCGATTCCCTGCAAGTCCAGCTTTTTGCGCTCCCTGAGGTATAGGATGGGTCGTGGTTGTGGTGGTGAAGCTTTGGGAGGGGGGTGGTGGACATGGGATGAAAGCTTTTTTTTTTGGCCGGATGTGGGGGCACCACGACACCACCCGACTTTTTGCACGGGTCTAGAACATCGAAATATCTTTCCGAGATCTCAGGGTCTACCTTAGGAACATGAACATGACTTTGCGAATGCTCTTCAATAGTGGTGCTGCACGCGTGGATGCATTTGATGTGTACGCTGGTTCGCATTGAAGTCGGCAGAGAGCACTTCGCAACACCATTTGAACCGAATCTCACCCCAACATCTTCAACCGATACCAGATCTCTAGATCTCTCGCTGACCACCTGTTCGTGCCTCGGCATCAATATTACATGCAGCCACGTGTGCGATCGTTCGGTTACTCAATCTTTCCACGCCAGGTTAGCTGCATATGCATCCCGAGATCTGCACGAGGCCTGTCAAGCGATGCTTCCCCTTCCAATGACGTCGCAGCCGACTTAGGTACCATGAACAGCAGTTCCAATCACGCGCATATCTGCAATGTGCGTGAAATCAAAGCCCTATTGTTCCGGACCCTTACAGGAACACAAACCACAGCGCCGCCGTCCCTGATTTTGCGCAAACACCAGACCCACCTTTGGAGGCAAGAATGAACGGTGAAGCTAGACCGTATTTCGCTTAGACTAGCGGCAAGCACAACCCAGCCCGAACAGATATTTTCAGCAGTCGACTTTGTGCCCCTCGCTCTCTCTCTCCAACGATCCAACCCCTCAGCTTCCGATAATCAAACAATTGGTGGTGTGCGACTTTTGAACGACTATTTCAATACCTTTTTAGAAGACAATCATCTTCTAACTTCACTCCCTTACCCTTTCGATACTTCGGTAAGAACAAAGCCCGACATCACGGCATGGCGCGTGCGGACTACAGCTAACACTCACCAGTCTTCCAACTCTACAAAATGGATTACCAAGCACCTGCTCCCGCTGCCGGTGGCCGTGGCTGCTACAACTGTAAGTTGACTCTATACCCACGATGCGGTGACACGGTCCGAATGCGGCCCCGCTTTGAATATCAGATCGCGAGAGCGTCACGCCTCAGGGTCCAGCGACAGGTCCAGATCGGTATTCAAGCGCGGAGACGACCATTCCTGACTCAGAACTGCATCTCTGAACACGCGCTGACCATGTCCAGGCGGAGACTCCTCTCACCGCGCTGCCGAGTGCCCCACCAAAGGTACCCCAACCTGCTACAACTGCGGCGAGAAGGGCCACGTGAGCCGCGAGTGCACTTCTCCTCAGGCTGAGAAGACCTGCTACCGCTGCGGTGGCACCGGCCACATCTCGCGCGAGTGCACCAAGGACGGCGGTGCCCAGATGGGTGGCCGTGGCGCCCCCAGCCAAGAGTGCTACAAGTGCGGCCAGGTCGGTCACATTGCCCGCAACTGCTCCCAGGGCGGTGGCTACGGCGGTGCTGCTGGCGGCTACGGCGGCGGTCGTGGAGGCTACGGTGGTGGTGCCGGTGGCTACGGAGGTGCTCGTCAAACCACGTGTTATTCGTGCGGTGGTTTCGGTCACATGAGCCGTGACTGCACCCAGGGACAGAAGTGCTACAACTGTAAGTACACAGCGATGAACTTGGAAGAGCTTGACTAACCTTTTGTAGGCGGCGAGGTTGGCCATCTGTCGCGCGACTGCCCCCAGGAGACTTCATCTGAGCGCGTGTGCTACCGCTGCAAGCAGCCCGGCCACGTCCAGAGCGCCTGCCCCCAGTAGGGTGTTCCAGATGCCGTCGATGTTTTGATCTGGAACGAGTTTCGAACTTCCAAGTCGCTCTGACAGCATGAGCGACGTTGGAGATTGCGCCCACGATGTGACGAATCATCGACATGCTTACGATTTCTTTTCTTGTATATTTTCATTCAGCGGCTCGCTGCCGTTTTTCGACGCTTCACGAAAAGCACATCGTCGCCCGGGCATGATTGGACGGCCTTTTCCTGTTTTGGCTGTACGTCAAGAGAGTTGGTTATGGGAAAAAGCCTTGATCCAGGAAGAGCGTTTGGTGGGAGATACAATGTGGGTGGATGGGAGAGCGGATGCTTGATGCGAGCAATGAATGAAGCAGTGCGTGGTCTGCACGACGACTGTGGCTGTAGGAGAGCGAGGTGTTCTCTCGTTTTGGCGGATGACTGGTGTCTGGGATGCGAATTAGCAACTGAGAGCCGGCTGAGGT